TCATTCTGCAGGGAAGGAGGGGTGCCCGTGGCGAGCAAGTGCTGCCTGTGGCTTTCTGAACACTTAGGTGTTTCGTACGAGCAGAAGGCTTTGCGTAGGAACATCCTGAAGCAGGATGGATGGCAGTTCTTCACCTAAAAACTTATGCCCCTGCATCCTGCAGGATAGTCAGCACTCCTGCTGGGAGTGATTCTGTGCGGGTGGGGAGATGATGAGCAAGTGTTCATACTGTGCTTTTCTGTAATTGCAGTTCAAACGTTTACTGTTGCTGTGTTGTAGTACCTGTAAGGCTGGAAACTTCCTTTTCCGGCGTAACTTTTGTGTCTTTTTCCTAGGGTAAATGGAGAAACAAGGAACGAGTGCTTATTTTCTCTTCTCGTGGAATTAATTTCAGAACAAGACACCTAATGCAAGACTTAAGAACGTTGATGCCTCACTCTAAAGCGGGTAGGGTTAGGCACCATCCCCGACTTATGTTTACAGAATAGTTTTAAACCAAGAACTGCTAACAACCTGTTATTTTAAAAAATGTGCTACATAACTGTTTTGATGAAATTTTTATCTTAAGGAAAAAAACACCAAATCCCTGTTGTGCCACCAAACACAGTGACGGTCGTTGCATCTTAATATTCTCTGGGACATCACTCCTATGGTGTCATCAGTCCCGCAAGCTCCTAGATACTTTTGTTGCTGTGTTTATTTGTTGCGTAACATGGCTGAAGCAACTTGATGGTTATTCTTGATCTTTCATTTATACCCAGTAAACATTTTTGCAAAAGGACTGACTATTCAAAGAATTTCTTGTGTTAAATTGGTTTTCCAGCCTTCTAAATATTATTCTTGTCTTCCAGATACTAAAATGGACCGTAAAGACCAGTTGTTTGTGATTAATGAGGTAATCCAGGATTTAACTTGTGCCTCTCGTTTATTTTCTCTGGAAATTCAATTTGCAAGAGGAAAGGATAAGCAAGTTCAAAGGATCTCATACAAGTTGTAGGGTAACTGCATAGATGAAAATTACTGGCATTCAAAAAGTGCTCGTGTTAAAACAGGAAGATGACTTTTGATTAATAAAACCAAAATGAATCCTTTAATTAAACATAGACTATCGTCAGAACAAGGAAAACAGAATATGCCTTTCTGTGTAGGTGAAACATGTATTACAGTTTGTATTTGAAGAAAGCAGGGAACAAATATGCAGCCAGGCCAAACAGCGTAGTAGGACGTGGGTAGTTCTGAATCTGGAATTTCATGTCACAGCTCCTGGTCTGGTGTTTATATCCTGGAGAGCTTACCACGTTGCTTGTAGCTTTAGTGAAGGTATACTCATGATAATAAATACATGAGATTTTTCAACAAAACAGGTGCTTAAGTTTGGGGATCAGTAGGTGTAATTTATGAAGATGAGACCTTTGCTTTTGAACTTACATTTCGGAGGGGAAAGATATTAGAGATCAGTGTGGGAAGTTTTTGAAAATTTGTAAACAGCTAATTTGACGTGTCTTGTGTAGGTGTGTGAAATGAAAAACTGCAATAAGTGCATCTTTTTTGAAGCCAAAAAGAAACAGGATCTTTATATGTGGTAAGGAAATGTTATGTTTTCTTACATTTCCATATATAGCTGGGGATGCTTCTGTTCTGTCTGAAGTTTCTTACTGTAATTGAAGATTCATGAAATAGTGTTGCTTAGTTAAGTCTGTACTAATCCTGCACTTCTGTGGGTAGTGCAGGTTTACAATGCGTGGTCAGCTTTTGTAGACTGTTTACAGAAGCATTTTACAAAATTGTTTAGAAAGCAAGTATTTATGTTAAAGGAACTCAATAATGCTGTAAAAGCAACTGAAATTATGTCAATACAGAAGTATCTGATTGGACCTTGCTATAGAAATCCAACACACCTTCTGGCTGCTGTTAACATTTTTATTTTCTCTCTTCCCCACTACCTGTCCTCTGCAGGCTTTCAAATACACCCCAGGGACCATCAGCTAAATTCTTAGTGCAGAACAGTAAGTTGGTTGACATTATTGTATTTGGACTCTTGCTTTCTTGTCTGTGCAGTTTTCTGTAAGTACTAAAATGATCTTTTTGAAAAAACCCACTGTAGTTCACACACTGGCTGAATTGAAGATGACAGGAAACTGCCTAAGGGGCAGCCGGCCCCTTTTGTCTTTTGATCCAGTAAGTATATGTTTTAATTCATCAAGTATGCTTTTGTTTTCTTTACATAACTATTGCATTTAGCTTTGTACGTAAAATTACATTTTTCTTTTGTAGACATTCGACAAGGAGCCACACTATGCACTGCTGAAAGAATTGTTTATTCAGGTCAGTGTGTAGTTCTGCTGTGCATTGTTTCTTCCTCGCTGGAATTGTTTTATGGCAATGTAATTAAAAATCTCAGGGCTTTTTTAAGTGGTAGCTTTATACTGCTGAACTTCTGATGTGCTTCAGATCACTGGGACACTTATTCTGAAGTTTTGCGTTTTGAAATGTAACTTGGGATCGGGATCTTAGTAAATGAAAATGAATTAAAAATAAGCCATTTATGTTTGGCCTCTTACAGTTAAGTTATTTAGAAATACTGCCTTTTCTTGCAGATATTTAGTACACCACAGTATCACCCCAAAAGCCAGCCTTTTGTAGACCATGTTTTCACCTTCACTGTTACAGACGAGAGGATCTGGTTTCGGAATTAC